TTTTTGCACTGCTCATGTTGACCTCTTTACTTTAACCAAGCGACGGAGGCAATATTTAAATCTGATTTTAAATATTCATGTTTTTCACGATCCTCGCGTCACGTTACGTAGATTTCGCTAAAAATAAATATTTCGCTAGAATTAAATTCATTACTCGGCCTCTTACTGTAGGGTTACTCGTAACTATGGGAAGATCTTCAGAGTTAATTGGGAATATGGGAAATTTTCCCGAGCCGTGGTAGCTCAGACGGCTAACGCTCGCTGTAAATATACGCGAGTAACCCGGGTTCGATCTCCGTCGGCACCAATTAAATAGTTAATCGCCATTTAAGTGCTAATTTATCACGTACTTGATGCAGAGGAATAAGAAAAAAAATATTTCGAAGACATGTGAAGTTCGCCAACACGCATTGGGGCAGCACGGCGGACATTTCTTTGCCCTAAAACCCTCTCAAAAATGTGAGGAGGCATGTGCTCCAGTAGTGGGAGCAGTGGCGAAGCCTCCATGCATTCCCCGAAGCCCGGCTTACCTTATCAAGCTGAATCAATCAATATAATATCAAGTAATAAAATAACTCGTAAACTGTTTCAAACTATTTCAAATTTCCCGCACGCTCTGTGCGACGTCGTAGCCTTAGGAATACTGCTGTCATACATATAAGGAGAGTTGAATTGAGCCATTGGTTGTCTCCCTCGCACAAGTGGGCTTTTTACCGGGGCTTTTGAGAAGGCAATCGCTCTCTTTCTAACCTGTGGCAAAATGTTCTATAGTGAAACATAACTACGATTGTATAAATAGCAATTAGTATGGAGATAAAAAGCCCGGCTTTTTAGTGACCATCAATTTTTTCCTCAGAGCGGGACGCCTTTAAAATTATTATAGTTTTAACACTTTTGACTGCCTTCTTGGTCTAATGGTCGTAAACGCAATTGCTGATCATGTGGTCCCAAGAAACCTGAGTCGGGTCAAGAATCATTTATTGGGTTTTTCTGTCACAAAATTCTCAGTAGCAGTAGTATTACACTTGGGCAATATAATTCAGATGCGCAGATGGCTATTTTCCGTTGATAATGGCCTTGTTACCAAAATTCAATCTGAAGCCCTTTAATATAGGTTTATAAATAAAACACATAGTTGTTTGAATCTTTTAATGATCTAAAGTGAATTCTGAACATCAAATAAATACTAATTGAAAATAACTTACGTTATTTGATAATTTATTGTAGATTAATTAAAAATTGTCACTTCGTAACTTTAAATTCAAAAGTGTAGCTTTTTAGAATAATCACGTAACTATACAAGCTATGCTGGCAAACCTGGTACGCGCGGTGTCACAATGATGGCACGGGTGACAGAGTTTGCAGGATTGTCACGCTTTTGTTTGTCAAAGCGGGACATTTTTACGTATATTGGGGAAAGCGCGACACAAACCTTTAAATCGAGAACGTCCTGTCTAAAAGGGGACGTATGGTTACGTTAGATATGAAGTTAGTCGAGACACCGCGGCACGCGGGCGACGCCGACGATACGTTTGCAAGTTCACGTCACATTTCAATGTTTACATTGTATGTTAGCTTGAGCGAATATATTATAATGTAAAATATTGTGAGTTGAAAATCTATACTTTTTTAAGATTTTTAGTGAAAATGGAGGAAAAGAGTATTTTTTGTGATTAATATAAGTGTGTTAAAGTGCTAATCAGCTAGGAAAAGGTAAAATCTTTAAAAATAATATTTTTATTCATAAACTTTTCTTCACACTTTAATAGGTACAGGGCTCTTTAGTATTAAAGTTCAATTATTCTAGGCATATAATTAAAAATATAATTTTGAACTGCAGCAGGTTTAATTTTATAGCAAAAAATTGTTACAATTTTTTTTTATGTAACGCCCAAATTTTAATTTAATAAATTAAATGAAAACATCATGTATTGAGGTTTTTAAAAAATATTTCCTTTAGTCTTCAGTATATAAAATTTTAATAGCGCCATCTACTTAATTCTATAGGTGAAGTCGTTTTATCGAACGAAAATTGATTGATTCTACGGTCATACAACCTATCTAGCGGTAGTATGCCTTCTGTGTGCTTTGTTAAACACGTCCTTGACAGCACTGAATATGAAACTGAAGAGTGGAGACAGATCAAAATTGGCGTATTTTTATAAAACTGCTAAAAACAACAAAACCATAATTTGGTCTTGCCCTAGTTTGGAGCCCCAGCTTCGCCACTGAGTGGGACGTATATAGGTTGTTACTTTATTTTATTTTACTATGGGATTTCAAAGAATTTCCATCTCTGTCTTTATTCCAAACTTCATAAAAGTGACATATACAAACCAATGATAGTATACAGCGCCAAAAGTGGATTATGTTTTACGGTGTGATTAGCGATTACGAGAAATCCTTCCATATATGAGAAGGATATAATGGGTGAAGGTGATAACTTTTTTTTCAAATGCAATATTTATCTCCACCAGGTCTACTTATCAACTAAGGTTCTCAATTCGATTCTATTAAGCTACTGCATAGCTTCTATCGCGGGCCTTGAGCGCGGGGACCGAATCCAGAAATTCCGTAACGAAAAAAAACCTCACGCTCCCCACTCCGACGGGCACGGAGGTGTGGCTTGAAGGCCGTGCATTGTCTAACGTCGTTTCTTTTCGGCTCTTCGAGTCTTCGACACGGTGTTCGTGTGCGTGCAACTAGACGTATTGTACGACTCTACGAAGCTCGCACGAATCGAGACGAGCTGCTCCGAAATCGGACGAATACATAAGCAGCTGTTTATGAGAAAGTATATAGGTATTATTATGTACAACAGTGAATAGCTGTACTTGTAAAATTTGTGTATAAAGTGTTTTGAATATGAATGAACAAAGTGCATTTATTATTAATGAAGAAAGTCACGAAAAAATAGTGAAAGAAAATGAGTGAGTACTCTATGTACATACATTTTATTATTATCACAAATGCAGTATTAATTTTGAATTGAAAATATAATACATATATATATAAAAAAAAAAAATAAATTCATTCTTCATTATGTATATAACAGAAGCTATCGAACCAAGCACGTGTACTATTCAGTACCTTTGTTTTTGGTGTATAAATAATGCACATGAATGCCGCGCAGAGAAAGTATATATGATATTATATCTACATAAATGTACATCGCGCGAAATTCGATAATCACTTCTTAATATCGTTATTTTTTTTAAATGAATAATTTTGTTTTGGTGTGTCATTACACTATTTATACCTAATTATTTATACCTATTATTTATACCTAGATATTTTCGTTTTATAGAGAAGAAAAGCGTAAAGAGCTAAAAAGAAAACAAAAGAAAAATATTTTAAACAATATTAACTTTTTATTTATTTAATAAAAGAAAAAAAATTGTTTTCTTATCGGTCACCACGCTCAAAAAGTGTAACTTGAATTAATATCAAAGAAAAAGAAATACTGCATAAATAAAATAGGTAAATAAAATATAATTATAATTGCATAAATTGATACAAAATGCTATGCAATAGCTTTACCGCGGCAGTCCCCGAGTGCCACACGTCTTTTTTTTATGTGCGTTACCTTTGAATTTTTTTCTATGTTAACCGATTTTGATGACTCTTTTTTCATTCGAAAGCTGGTGCTTCTCATGTGATCCCATATAAATTTGACCAAAATCCAGCCATTAGTTTTTGAGTTATCTGATGATATATCTGATGTTCTCATTTTATTTATATTGAAGTCGGTTATACAAAATCTTTGATTTTACCACTTGTTTGGCATTTTAAATCCAATCTACGCGGAAACCCAAATCCCATGCATAATGAGAAGCAACGTCAGTAAAAGTATCTATTCAGCGTGTTGAGTAAGGTTCAATATTTCCAGCTTTTATACATGGTGAAGTCATGATGCAGCTTGTGAGGGCTGCAGTACAAATGGATCGGCTTAAGATAGAAATAGAAACTTTTTGACTATATATACATATATGTATAAATTAAAATAAATTTTCTCCCTGGACAATGCAAAGGTAATAAAACCACATGCGAATTGCAAATTAATAAATTTTTTAAATGGTTGAATTTTTTTTGAAAAAAGTTATGATTTCGTACGTGGTAAAGCACCAATGGTTAGACTCGACCAGGGAAGCACCACGCTCTCACAGAATACCAGCATAAAATAGCAGCTTAATACTCCTGTGTTTCGTATGGTGAGTGTAGACCTCCGGAAACCCTTTTTACTGCAAAAGCGACATTCCATCTTAGTCCTCAGGGGTGATAACGCATCTGCGTTTTGATTCTTAATTGAGGATAGATGTCGATATCTATGGGGCACAGCATCCACTTACCATCAGGTTGACTGTGTGCTCGTATGTCACCCTTATTCTGTAAAAAATTCTATACATTTAAATACTGAATCTGATAGCGCACTTAACGGGAACCACAGGGTTTTTGTTACATAATATAATAACTATAAATAATACTTGTTAAAAGTCACTTTTATGTTTAATTTAGCACTGGTTCAAAAAATACCTCCGTCCTGAGATGAATCAGCGGGGAACCCATTAGGACATTTTTTTGAAAAAAATATCGGTTTATACCCATATATTATGTTACACAATTTCTACTCAAAACAAATTGGTAGCAATCACCTCACTCTTAGGGATTATTATCATCCGTATATTCCTTAATATTATGATAACCCTTTTTCTTTTAAACCTTTTAAAAACCCCAAACTCAGTTTAATAACATGTTTGAACTTGGACGGTGGACAAATTTTGTATATTTTCTGGTTTTTGTTGTAAAAGCGCGCCGTGGAATCGATTCGTACTTTTTAGGCCTCAGGGATGACAACGTTTATGCATTTGTCTTTTCTTATTTATATACCTAATATATTGGCAGCAACATTCACTTTAGGTTGGACTATGCTCTATTATCACCCTTATTTGTAGGAACAATAAGAAATACCAAAAATTTAAAGAGTGTTTCCATTGTCATAGGTGCGGTTGGTGGTGACGGCGATGACAGCGATGACAAGGAAAAGGAAGAAGAAGCGGAACGCGAACGACAGGAAGCGATCCGCGAGGCCGAGGAGCGGCGCAAGGAGAAGCATCGCAAGATGGAGGAGGAGAGAGAGAAGATGCGCCAAGAGATTCGGGATAAGGTAAGTCTGCGTTAGTTGCATTTTAGATGAAGGAAGTTAAACAGCTAATTATTTTGAAAATCATATACGGTGTCAAGTTTAACAAAACCTAAACTATAATAACTTAACTGAAAACTTAAAAAACCCACACAATCTTCTAACGGCTGAACCGATTTAGTTATGAAATGTCTAAGAACGACCGCTAAGAAACCTGCTTTTAAATAAAAAACCGCAACAAACAAACACACGAACAGACAGACACGGTACACAGATAGCGGTCAAACTTATAACACCCATCGATATATATCTACGCACTAGATTTCGCATTCCAAACACTCACTATGTTCAACTGAACTGTACTGCAATCCGTACACCTGTTATTGTGTCTTCGATATTCATGCAGTGCGGAGCGGCGCTAATAATAATTTTATATTAAATTAGCACATATGCAAAATAAACTAAAATTTAAAAATATGTTCTCGATTAACAATACAATCTAAATAAACAGTTATTTAGTATGAGAATTTTCGCGCGTTTATATCAACTGCGCATGCGCGACTTTACTGTTTCCCGCGCATGTGCGGATACAGAGTAGTGGACATTTTTTGTTTGGAATAGCTTCTCTAGTACGTAGTACATAATAACCCAATGATAACACCCCTTTTTTCGTCTGGGGTTAAAAATCTATATGAAGCATATAAACTACTAAACTAATAATGAATAGGTACGTCTTATATTAATTAAAAAAATAAGTTATAATTAGTACTACTAACAAAACTCCTTTTCTGCTTGGTTACTGATCAGTTTTGACATTGATTTCAATCAATGAGTTTTGAGGACAAAAATATATTCTCAAGTGTAACAACATGAACCCAATCTAAAGAAGTGTTGAAGCGACTGAGATGAAATGTTTGCTAACATTTTCGTGTATCGTGGTATGATCACTTACACTAAATAAATAGCGACGGCTCTGTGGCGCAATGGCTTAGCAATGAGCGTTAGGGGTCGCGGGATCAAATCCCGCACGGACCAAATATTTGTATGGCCTACAAATAATTGTACCGGATGTTTGTCCTAGTGAAATTTATTTAACTAATCTGCCTCCACGAATCAGGAGAAAATCATAGTATTGAGGTAACGTTTTAAAATAGAATTAAAAAAGCATCGTAGTTGCTCAGCGGTCAGCACCCGCCTTATTTTTTTTAGTTCAAGCGGTCACATTGTCATTTAAAAATAGAAGAGAACCCCATATTATCACGTAGGTCTCGTAAAAGACCACAGAGAGGACTCGAAACAGAAGACGGGCTGCAGAATCTTTCTGGTAATAACTCAATATAATAAAATACTGCAATATAATCTTTTTGCGTAGTAGAGCCACCCTGCAGCTATATTACGGTTGTAGCACGAATGGGTCGGCTCGACCGGGGAAGGACCACGCTCTCACAGATTACCAGCGTAAAATAGCAGTTTAATACTGCTTTGCTTCGTATGGTGAGTGTATTCGGAGACCCTTTTTTACTGAAAACGAGACATTCCATCTTAGTCCCCATGGGTGACAACGCATCTACGTTTTGATTCTTAATCGAGGATAAATGTAGATGTCTATGGGCCACAGCATCCACTTACCATCAGGTGGACTGTGAGCTCGTTTGTCATTCTTATTCTATAAAAAAATTCAATATAACAAAATACTGCCGTTGCCAGTCCACTTGCCAATCGTGCCAATTATGGCAAATATCACCTCTGTAAGTCAATCTATAGGGTAGGCCTATGTTAAGCAATACACTTTTGGTTGGATTTAAAGGTAGGAATTGATTGTAGGTGAGATCACTTGAATAGCATTCGTTAACGAATTCATCTCTATGGCTTAATCTTGGTTGTGAAATATCAGCTTAATTAAGTTCAATATTTCTCCTTCTCCTTTGTAAGCCTTTGTAAGTAAAAGTCACTTGCTAGTAGCGTGGCTCACCCATTGTAAAAAGGATTTGTCTTAATGATCATGCTTGGCAACAAATTTTCATCATCATCATCAGCCTGCGGCAGACCACTGCTGGACACAGGCCCCTCCCGATCCAAACTTTGTCTTCACGAATCCGGTTGCTGGCTGCCGCTCCATCTAGCCAGGGAGCGTCCTACGCTACGTTTATCTAAACGTGGTCTCCACTTTATGGTACGACTACTTCAACGGTTATCGCTTATTAATGTGACCAGCCCGTTGCCACTTCAGCCTGTAACTACAGCGATTTCCGCCTAGTGTTAATGAGATGCCGCCACATATTATGGGAAGCCATAACATGTTTCGAACATTTCCCATAGTTGCCTCTTACTTCTTATAATACCACCTCATCCACCACCATACGTCTAATGGTCTCCATAAAATTAACTTTTACCTTTTATTAAACGTTCATTTTCGTACCATTTTAGGTATACTAAGTAACATTGCAATGTCGTCAAAAAATTTTTATACGATTGGGTGACAAACGAGCACACAGTCCACCTGATGGTAAGTGGTTGCTGTGGCCCATAGACATCTACATCTATCCTCGATTATAAATCAAAATGCAGATGCGTTGTCACCCGTGAGGACTAAGATGGAATACCTATTTTCCAGTAAAAAAGGGTCTCTGGTTCTCTATACTCACCATACGAAACACAGCAGCATTAAGCTACTACTTTACGCTGGTATTCTGTGAGAGCGTGGTCCTTCCCCGGTCGAGCCGACCCATTCGTGCTACAACTATACTACTATTATAACTGCAGAATGGCTCTACCACGTATAAAAAAATAGTTACATTAAACATTTATTCCCTATTTTAACCCTTGAGGATGGAATATTTTCCCTAAATTCGTATGGGCCACCCTTGACATATATTTTATAGAGCAAAAACCAAAACAGGTTTACCGTTGATGAAGATATCGCGTAACACATACAAAAAAGGAGGGGGGAAAGCATACAGTTGAATTGTAAGCTTATATGAAGTCGGTTAAAATGTCACAAATACATAGTTTTCTCTCAGATGTCTATTAGATTTTCAATTCGTTTAAATTCATACGTTCCGAGTTCATTGTTATTCGTAAACCCTCTTCATCCGCACAAAGGAGCACGCACGTCCGTAATTGCAAAGCTGATGGTACACGACAGGGCGAGGCGACAATTAGCTCGCTAAAGGGGTCAAGCGCCCTCTACCGAGCGCGGCCCGACGGGTAATTTGTTCGACTCAGCTCGAGTGCCTTGTGAAAGGCAGCTGAGAGCTGTTTCGTGCATTGCACTTTATAACCTAACTATAATTTTCGATCGGTGTTTTTGATCGTTTTTAACAAAACCCCGAATGTTTTTACAATTCTATTTACTGGTGTAATAGATATCCTTTTTCCTATATAGTTCTTTAAGGACCGATTATTTGATCTTCAGATAAAAGTTATCCATCGAAGAAATTACAAATTTGCGGAATATAAAAGTCAATAAATTGAACCATTTCATTAATACGACTGTAATTTTTAATTTATTTATATAGTATTTTATTCTATATTCATAGAATAGATTTAGCTGACGAAATAAAAATTTGCCTTAAGAAAATAAGCAGCTTTTTAAAAATATTTGAACTATCGTGTAATATCTACTCGAATATCTTACAACCAATATAGATTAACCGTATAAAAACATGCATATATTTACGTGTTAGAGCCATGTTGCAGCCATGTTACAGCATGAATGGATCGGTTTGACATCAGCTTGCTTTAATAGCAGTTTAATTTTTTAAGTGACAGAGCCATACTGCAGGTATATTATTGTTGTAGCATGAACCGGTCGGCTTGACCGGGGAAGGATCACGCTCTCACATAATACCAGCGTAAGACAGCAGTTTAATGCTGTGTTTCGTATGGTGAGTGTAGAGGACCGTAAACCCTTTTTACAGAAACGAGGCGAAAAAAGGTCATACACAGGTATATAGTTACATACAATTATACAGTAAAATTCTGTAAAATTAGTTTTTTTTTAATGAAAAGTTTTAGTTTTAGTATAAGAAACCATTAAACCACTCGTCATGTATGACACTTTTGTTGTATAATATGCATTTTTTTATGTATTTTTAACACTAACCGACGGCGGTACCGAGTACCGTGTCTTCACGTCACGTCATGTTCGTCTGATCATTCCTCACACACACATTCAAACACGTGACTCAGCAATCTAACCACCTAGCTTCTACTACCCTGACAGTACTCCAATAGCCAGTTTCTTGGGATAGAAGTAGATTGGAACGGAGAGCCTTCGTGGTGGATTTTTTAAATGTGACAAACGAACCCAAGGTTTGCCTGCTAGTTAATGGGTATTGTGACATATAGACACATACAACAGGAAATATAATGCGGAGGCGTCTTCACCAATGATGTATAAAATGGGATAAAAGTTAAAGTTAACGTTACAGTCTATATATGTCCCATTGCTGGGCACAGGCTTACTCTCATTACTGAGAGGGTTTTAGGGCAAGGAAATGTCCACCGCGGTGCCCCAATGCGTGTTGGCAAAACCTTTTTTTTTATTTCTCAGACATGCGGGTTTCCTTACGATGTTTTCCTTCACCGCCGAACATGTGGTAAATCAACACTTATAATTGTAATTAACAATTTCATTGGTGCTGGCGGGGATCGAACCCGGGTGCTCGTGTACCGTAGAATTTTGCAGCGAGCGCTAAGCCCCTGAACTACCACGGCTCTTGATAAGATTAAAATGGGATGCCGCGTTCTTAGTTTTTATATTTTTTTAATTCTTTAATTCCTCTATACTTTATGTCTTATCACCAATGTCAGAATGTGAAATTATTTCATTATTTTTAGTTCTTTGAAGTTGGCTTTTACTTTTATTAAAAAATTATTTTTATCTCCGTAAATCCGCTGCCAATTTTCTTTTAAAAGGCAATGGAACTTATTTTTCTGCCTCTATAATTTGAAATGTCACTGCCTTGACTTAATTTTCATTCTCGACATTTCCTCGACGCAAAGGTATTTCAAAAGAGGAA